CAAGCCAGAGAGGTCCAGTTACCGTAAGGCTGTGGAGGCAGAGAACCTCAGCGGGCTGCCTGTACTCTTATGTTCTAGAGGCACAAAGGTGACCCAAGGACAGAGCGGTGGGAATAAAGGCGACCACTGCACTAGAGGCGGGGTGGGATAACTGAATGGCCAAGTCTAGACCTTTGGGAATTGCCAGGAAGCGGAGGACCAAAACTAGGGGCGGGGCAAGGCCTTGATAGGGCTAACCCAGAACCAGGCCCGTCTAAGCGGGACCAATTGAAGAGCTGGGTGTAGGAAAAGGGGCGGGGTAGACCGTGAGCGAGTCAGAAGGAAAGGTGAAGCCAAAGCGGCTAGAAAGGGGCGGGACCACAGTGAACCTAGCGAGCCTGAGATGCGACTGGACGGGGATAATGTGAGGAACCGATTGTAGAGTAGCAATGGGGGTCAGAGGCCCTGAGCTTCTTAGCTGAACCTCCCAGAAGAATCTCACTAAAGCTGGTCCTCCCTAGGCCTAACCAGCTTCTCTGCCACTTCTTGAGAGCTGGGCCTGCTGAGTTGCATTCTCTGGCTCTAGGCCTTTTGGAGAGAGGGAGGGATGGATCAGTGAGAGACCGAAGCCTATAATTACTCGCCCCTGACTGGCTATCCCTTGGTTTCTCTTTGTGAAAGGCAAAAAGCCTCTTCCTTCCCCCACAGACAGGACTTCTTTCCTTCTCCTCCCCAGAGACCCTATGGCTAGTCACACAGCACACACAAGCTGGCCCTTGTCTGTCTGCTGGCCACTCCTCACCTCATTCATTCAGCAGAGGTTGTTCTGAGAGCCATGGCTTCTGAGAGCCCACCAGCCTGTAAACAGACAGGCACCAAGTCGGCTTTAATTCACTACTGACTTCTCAGAGGCCCAGTCCAGTCAGTACCTGCTACAGAGAAGTAGATATGTGTTAAATGAAGGAATACTCAGTCCTGTGCCAGTAACTGCAGATAGAGTTATAACTCAGACAAAGCTTCCAGGAGCTCACAGCCAAGCAGGAGAGTCAGATGGGGCAACATTTTTATTGCTGTGGACTCAATCTACAAACACATACTCACACTGACACACTGACGGCTACCTACTACTTCTCCACACACACACCCAACAATCAGCTCCCCCTCCTCCCAAAAAAAGAAAACTTCGCTTTGTTTCACAAAATCCCCCTGTGGTTCCCTCTCCTTTCCTCCAACGTCCTGACTCTCATCCAGCTGGAGCCACTAACCTCGGATGATTCTGACAACTACATGTGCATCGCAAGCAATGAACATGCAGACGCCATCTACACCGTGTCCTTGCTGGTGACAGAGGGTGAGCCAGCACTCTCCTCCTGCCCTTTCCTCTTACAGGCCAGTTTTCCCCTGTCTGATCCTGTCCCGCTCTCTTTTCTTAGGTCATGATAAAATGGATTTCAAAAAGATGTTGAAGAAGAGGTGAGGCTGGAAGGTCCTTCCCCTGGGGTGCTGGCCCCACTCAACCCCTCAGCCTCTTGAAGGCCTCTCAACAAGGCCCTGAGTTAATTGCTCAGGGTCTAAGAATCCATGGAGTGAGGAGGGCCATCTCAAGGTTGGGAAAGGCTCTTCAAGATTTCTGTCTTCAAGGAGAGACTCTGAGTCCAAGCTTGTTCTCTGCCTCCTCCCAGGGCCCCTCCTGCTCCTAAGAAGAAGGAGAAGAAGGTGACAGATGAGAAAGGAATGCTAGAGATTCTGTCCAAGGTGCCCAAGAAAGACTTTGAGAAGGTCTGCATAGAATATGGTTTTACTGATTTCCGGGGGCTGCTCAGGAAGCTCAAAGAGATGAAGAAAAAAGTAGAGGTGGAGGTCAGTGCCCAGCAGGGAGCAAGTGCATAGTTGGTTTATTTTTCATCCCCTATCATCTCCATCTCCCCTAAATCTTCCAGTTGGTCAACAGGGGGTGCTGCTGTTAAATCATCTTAGCCCTTTCTTCCCAGATCCTTGGAGGCTCCTCCAGGATTAGACACACAACCTGGGTAGGCAGATACCCCTGACACCTACCATTTTATTATCACAATCTCTTAGGCCATCCGGATTCTGAAGCCCTTGGAAGACATAGAGACCAAGATTGACACCACAGTGGTCTTTGACTGTATCATGGAGCTGAGGGACCCCAATATCAAGATGATATGGATCAAGGTGAAGAGACACCTACCCAAGGCTTACCCTGGCAATATCACTTCTCTGCACCCCCTCCCTTCTCAGACCCTCTATTATGCATCAGCTATGGCTTATTTCCATTCTATCAAGAGGATACCTCCTGGTATGATTGAAAGGGTTTGAGAGTCGGGCTCTCTATTCATGGCTTTTAACCAAGGTATTGTGTAATTTGAGACAGTCACTTCCCCTCTCTCTAAGACTTTTTATCTGTAACTGGAAAAAGCTGGATTAGATAGTCCTCAAGGTCACTGAAGGTCTGTGCCTCTAAGAGAAAGCATGAAATAAATTCACACACATTGTTTGGCCTTTGGGGGAATGCAAGGACCCCAGACACCACTGAGCCAGATGATGAAAGTAGAGATATATTAGGGTCCTCTCGTGGTGTCTGAGGAACTTAGAGAGGTGGGCAAGGCACCCTCTAGCTCAGACTGGCTTTTGGAAATAGGGAGCTCTGGAGGTCTCCTCCTAAACCCCTTTATCAATTTTCCTACCTGTTCCATGAGGCAGGGTACTGAACCATTAAGAATCCAGTACTCCCTGGGCAAGTACGATGTGAAGCAGATGGGAACAAAGTATATGCTGGTCATTACCAACGTGAATATGAACGACGCAGGCACCTACAGCCTGTCTGTGGGTGACAAGCGGATGAGTGCACAGCTCACAGTGCTAGGTATGAGTACGGACATTAGCAGGGGAACACAGAGAGGACATGGTCCGGGTCAGGGGGTAGAGATGGCCACCAATGGAGTTCATGGGGTTATGGGAGAGAAAAATGTGGGGCTATGCAAGAAAAGACTGCATGCGAATAGGAATTAATGGAAAGAGAAACATGAGTATGTAATAGAGAGGATTTTGAGATAAGTGCAATAGGGCAGTACAGAAGAGGGGTTAAGGGCACAGACTCTGGAGCCAGACTGCTTAGGTTCAAATGCAAGCTTTTGCCACATATGTGATTTGTGACAAGTGACTTAACTTCTCTTTGCCTCAATTTTCCCATCTGTAAAATGGGAAATAATAGTAGAATCTAGCTCTAAGGTAGCTGTGAGAATTAAATGAGTGAATTTGTGCAAATTGGCTAGAATAGTACCTGGCACGTATCTAAAACTGTATTTTGTTAAGTACTTGGTTAACATCAATGTTGTAGCTAACATTACTGGGGAAGCGGCTGTGTGAACATCATGGGAGGGGCCGCCAAGGAAGACAGGTTCACATAGGAAGGGTACTTTCCCCCAATGTAGACTCCAGAAGGCCAATGACACCTGAGTCCCCAAGCCCCCTTCACTATCCAGCCCTCAGGAAAGACTAGTCTACAACCCAGTGACTTTCTCTCCTACCCTGTCCTGCAGATGAGCCACTTAAGTTCTTGGGAGAGATGAAGCCACTGAAGGTGACAGAGCGCCAGACAGCTGTGTTTGAGATTCGGCTCTCAAAAAAAGTGCCAAACTTTGTGTGGAAGTTCAATGGAAAGGAACTAAAGAGGGATGAGAAGTATGAAATCACAGTATCTGAGGATGGTCTGACCCACACACTTAAGATCAAGGACGCCAGACTCAGCGACAAGGGCGAGTTCTCTGCTGAGGTGGGGGACCTTGTACAGAAGGCCCAGCTCACCATTGACCGTGAGTGGTTGGGTCAAAGCCCGAAGGGTGGGGCTTTATACCATAGCAACCCTCATGTGGGAAGTCATCTATCCATCTGTCCATCCATCCACCCATCTCTTCCTTACGATGCCCTGAGGTAGGTGCTAAACAGGTAAACATGGTCCTCCCCTCCATTAACTCCTAGTCTAGTGAGGGTAAAGCAGATGCAGAAATAGAATTAAAGCAGCAGTTCTCAAGCAAGGAGTCAAGACACATCAGGGTCTTATTATCAGCTAGGAGATCATGGACCAAGAAATTATTGGCTTTTATAACTCTAATAGTATAAATTAGAGCACATCTGTGTAGCTTTTGACTACTTACATTCCAATATTATAGCTAAAGTGGGGAATTGCACATGATGGTGGACACACCAATGAGCATGTCTCATGTGTGACCTGCACCTGGGATCCATGTTACATAATCATCTTTGCTGTGATGGAGGGAGACACAGAGGCCACAGGAACACAAAGAAGTAGTGGCCAAAAATGAGGTGATATCAAAGCTTTAGTAAGAAAAACAAAAACGAGTTTGGCTTTCAGAGAAGGGGGAAAAGGAGAGGACGTTCCCAGTACAGGGAACAGCATGTGCAAAGGCACAGACACTGAGACACTGCAAGTATGGATGGAGCTCCAAGGGGCCATACTAGCTTCCTATGGCTGCCATAACAAATTACTACAAACTGGGTGGCTTAAAACAAGAAAACTTCAGTTTCCTCACAGTTCTGGAAGCCAGAAGTCTGAAATCCAGCAAAGCTGCACTCACTTTAGGGGGCTCTAGAAAAAGACTCCATTCTTACCCTCTTCCAGCTTCTGGTGGCTGTGGCCTCAACACTCCAGTTTCTGCTTCTGTGGTTACAGTAGTGCCTCCTCCACTTCTGTCTGTATAATCTCCCTCTGTCATTGCATTTAGGCCTCATCCAGACAATCCAGGATGATTTCCTCATCTCAGGATCTCAAACTTAATTACTTTAATCTACAAAGAGTCTTTTCCAAATATGGTAGCACCCACTCATACGTTCCAGGCATTAGGACATGGTCGTATTTTTCTAGGGGTCCCCATTTGACTTCAGTAGAGACATTAGCAATACTGACTACAGCCCTGTGAGACAGTAAAAGCTGTTATCCAAATTTACATATGAGGAAACTGAGATTTGTACAGGTAAATGGGTTGTATACAGTTGACTAGCAAGTAAGGGACAGAGCTAGGACTCTGCCAGGTAATTCTATGGGTCATATGTTGCACACAAGCACACTCAACCTCGCAAGCCCTATGTTTTCTGGGGCAGCATGAAGCTTCAGAAAAAAAGTATAGGAGTTTGGGAGCAGGCCCAAGCATCTTTCTGCTGTCTGTCTGTCCTCAGGCATCCCCATCAAATTTGTGAGCACCCTCAAGAATGTGCGTGTGAAAGAGAGGAGTCGTGCATGCCTCGAGTGTGAGATGACATCTAAGGATGTGACACTGTACTGGAAAAAGGATGGGCAGCTGCTGGAGCATGGCACCAAGTATAGCATGAGCCATGAGGGCAAGCGAGCAGAGCTGGTCATTGAGGATGCACAACTCAGTGATGGTGGCGAGTACACTGTGGTGGCCATGCAAGATGGGGACCCCACTGAATACTACAGTACTGCTACAGTCACCGTGGAGGGTACACACCCACCCTGTCAGTCTCCACTGACCAACCCTACCCCTTACCCTGGCCTTCCCCTACTGTGGACACTGATGGGACCCTCTACTGACTCTTAATATGTCATCAGACCATGACCATCCTCTACCTCGCCACTCTGATTACCCCTATCTCCCAAATTCTGACCAAGTCCTGACCATCCTTTTTCTTAGATCTTGGTCACCCCCATCTCCCAACCCTAATTATCCCATATCCCCTGACTTCAACCATCTTTCACTTCCAGACCCTGGACATGCCCCAGCACCCCAATCAGCCCACACCCCTTGACCCTCTTACTCCTTAACCCTGACAATCCCACTGACCCAACAACCATCAACTCCCAATGACCCTGACCATCCCACTGACCAGCATATACACCGCTAACATCCCAACTTCATTAACCACCTGTATCCTCACAATGTATTCCCCTTTTTCAACTGAGCACCCTAAGTCCCCAACTATCAGCTATCTCCTAGTCTTCCTGGTCACCATTTCTCAACACCATTGATTTTCCCCAATCCTCCACTGACCTTTCCCTTGCTCACCATGTACTTGCTCCAGCCCCCATCTCCTCTCACCTTTACCCTATTGACTATCCCCTAATCTCCCAGTGACCATTTCCAAACCTCCTCATCATTGAATGATTTTGAGCAACATGGCATCAGATCATGCCCAAGACTATCACCTTCAGCCTGTTTTCCCATGAGTCCCTTCTACCCCAACACCCTGACCCAGCCCTGGCCTTTCTTTTTCCCCAGAGCGTCTGGCCACGGTGAAAAGCGGGATGTTAGACACCCATGCAGCCACTGGGAGCCCAGCTGAGCTGTGCGTTGTACTGAATGACGAGAAGGTGGAGGGCGTGTGGCTGAAGGATGGCAAGGAGGTCAGAGACAAGGGCCAGGGAAGGGGGTGAAGGAGGAAGCGGTAAACCTGGCCACAACCATGCTCATGCCCATCCCCCACCCCCCAGATCACAGACTTGCCTGGCGTGCAGATCGTGAAGCAGGGGGCAGTGCACAAGCTCATCTTCCCCAACATGGGCCCGGAGCATGAGGGCAAGTACACGTTCAGGGCCAAGGGTGCAGAGAGTGAAGCCTCAGTGTTCATCGCAGGTATGGTCGCTACCCACTGTAGATAAAGCTTACCACTGCTGGCCCCGCCTCCATACCCATGGTTCTTACCCCTCGCTGGTTCTAAGCTTCTTCCCTATCCCCTCAGCAACTCCTCTTTCCTGCTGGGCTACCCTTCCCTGCCTCTCCACCCTGCAGATCCCCCTACCATTGACCCATCTATGCTGGAGGCACTCGCTGCACACCCTGTGACCGTGAAGGTGGGTCACACTGCAAACATCAAGGTGCCCTTCCGGGCAAAGCCGCTGCCCAAAGTGACGTGGTTTAAGGACGGAATGGAGGTGACAGAGGAGGAGCGTGTATCCATGGAGCGTAAGGAAGACCAGGCGCTGCTCACCATCTCAAACTGCGTGCGCGAGGACAGCGGACTCATCCTGCTCAAGCTCAAGAATGACCATGGCTCAGCAACAGCCACCCTGCACCTCAGTGTGCTGGGTGAGGGCAGGGCCCAGCTGAACTGGTTGTAGGCCCCTTGCTGCCCAACTTTCAGGATGAAGGGCAGGCCTGGGAAGGAAACTGGGGATAGAGCTGGAGTTTGGGTTGAAAATGAGACTGGTTTTGCACAGAATCCCACTTCCTAACTAGGTGACTTTGGGCTAGTCAGTTAACCTCAGTTAAGGCTCAGTTTCTCATTTCCAGCAGGAGGATAGTTGTTTGGGTTTTTGTTTTTGTTTTTAGTACTTACTTCAGCTGGCAGTTCAAACCTACCAGCCACTCCTCGGAAGGAAGGTTGGGCAATCTATTTCCGTAGTGATATCACCTCAGGAACCCAAGGAAGGGTTTCTGTGAGTCGGATCCCACTCGATTGCAGTGGGGTGGGGGGGGTCAAGTCAATTTACAACACACAGCAGAGTGCACAGCACATAATAAGCTTTCAAATATGTTACTTAGTATTGTTATTGACTTGGAGATGAGGATATGGTTAGAGGTAAGGTGGGAATGAGGTGAAAAAACTGGGATTTAGAGATGGCAGAGAGGTTGGTTGGAGAGAGTAGTGGGGTTAGAAATGAAATGGGGTATGTTGAAGCTAAGATGAGATTGGAGATAAAATGAAGTTAGAGATAAATGAGGAATGAGGTTAAGTATGGGATTTGGGATGGATGTGAGCATAGAGATGAGGAATTGGCCTTAGTGAGCCCATACTCAACATGTAACACACACACAACAATCACCACTTCCTACATTTGCTCTTCATCAAGCTGTGGGTGGGAAGGTTTGGGCTGTTCAGCAGCATGACTGAGCACCACCACTGTGTCCTCAGTGCTGGGAACATTGAAATGAAGTAGCCTCAGCAGTCCTTCAACCAAAAGAGATGAAAAATGGTACACATGTAATTATAATGTAAAATAGACTGAGATACTAGAAAGTACTGGAGTTCTGGACACTTAGAGGAAGGGGAAATCGTGAGTGGAAGGGAACAAGGAGGATAAGCCAAGGCCGAGACCCCTCAGGTCTTCAGTCCACCATTCCTAGGCAGGTGGAAGGCTCAGAGGATCAAGGATAAATCTCTCTGGGCAAGTCTTAGGAGGAAGAGTGATAGACATAGGGAAGCATGAGGGATCCAGAAAGTTTAGAATCCAGCTATGCCCCAATCTGGCTGGAGAGTGGGAGGAAGTTCTTCTGATGCTTTGCTCCATGCTGAAGCTGTTGTCTGTCCCCAGACCGTCCCAAGCCTCCACAGGGCCCGGTGGAGTTCCTGGAGCTCTCAGGTAGTTGTGTACACATGAAGTGGAAAGCCCCAAAGGACAACGGTGGACGGCCTGTGACACAGTTCATAGTGGAACGGAGGGCAGCCGGCAAGAAGTCCTGGATTAAGATAGGCGAGGTGGACAGCAAAGTCACCAACTTCTCCACCAACAAGGTAGAAGAGGGAAAGGCATACCAGTTCCGTATCCTGGCAGTCAATTCAGAAGGTGTGAGCGACCCACTGGAGACAGACGAAGTATTTGCAGGAAATCCCATCGGTCAGTGAGATAGTCTAGTGCTCAGTGGATGACTTGGGGATGGGTCCTTCAGTCAGTCTGTGGGGAATTCCCCAGTATCATCTCTCTAGCCATCCTTAACACAGACCAATTCAGAGAAGAAAGAACATTCTTTAGGACAGGAATTCTCTTTTCCCAGCCAGATCACAACATAATCCCATGAGTATATCCAGATTATGCATAATTCCAAGCCACTGACTCCCCTGTTCTGTTTCTCCATTCCAGAAATCATCCCAGAATCCAAATGAGAGTGATTTACTTTGGAGATCATCTTAAAACCACTCTAATTTTTTTTTTTTTCCCCCAAAAGAATCCCTTGACAGACTTCTCCATTTTAATTATGATTGCTAATAAGTGACTTGTGACATCCCTCCCAACCAATCTCCACATCTCAGTATGTCAAGACAGTACACTGAGAACTGTGACATTGAAGGTGACACAGGTTGGGAATGTTTTTAAGTCAGTGATTCTCAATCTGTACATTAGAATCACTTGGGATTTTTTTAAAATGCTAATACCTGGGCTCTACCCCAGGCCAATTAGAATATTTAGGGGCAGGGACCAGCCACTATTTGTTATTGTTGTGTTTTTGTTTTTACTTTTAAATGATATCAGTATGGCAGAGTTCTGTATGGTGTGGGCAACTATCTGATTGCATCCTCTCCTACCCTGTGCCCTCCACAGAACCCCCTGGTCTTGTCTCCCAACCTCAAGTGTCTGATGTGACCAAAGAGGCTATGACTATCACATGGAATGCCCCCACCCAGGATGGGGGAGCCCCAGTGCTTGGCTACATTGTGGAGCGGAGAAAGAAAGGCAGTAACCTGTGGGTGCCAGTCAACAAGGACCCCATCCAGGGTGAGTTCCTAGGAACAGAAGCCAAGCAGGGATGGTCAGAGGCTTTGCTGGGTGGGCCCACATACCTCTGGTGCTCTAAATATACTTTCCCACAAACAGCACTTTAGGGGTTTTAATGGTATCCCATGACCACCTCTTCCATGGCCTCTCCCCCCACCCCATGGGCCCCCTTTGCCCATGTCCTCTTGTCTTTTCATTTCAGGCACCAAGTGCACTGTCGATGGGCTCCTGGAGGACACAGAATACGAATTCCGAGTTACAGCTGTGAATAAGGCAGGCCATGGGCAGCCCAGTATGCCGTCCACCTCAGTGGTGGCCAAGGACCCTATCAGTGAGTATGGGGCTGTCAGGCCACACATAGAATGGAATTAACCAATACAAATTAGAAAATTTTCTTCTCTGGCAAAGTCTGACAGGAGGGGGTCACCACTCTCTGGATGCTGCCAGCCTGGTAGAGGGACAGGATTACATATAGCAAAGATGTGGGATGGAAACAGTTTTGATCAAGCTTTGAGTATTTATGCTTAGGTGAGGCATTAAAGGCTTGTTTGAGGACTGGCTGGGGATGTTGGGTAGATGATTGGGAGGGTTTTGAGTTTAGGAGGTGAGGGCAGAGGTGCTTTTTATGTGAAAGGATGTGGTGAGAGAGGGATGGATTAAAGGCTGGAGTTTTGGATATAGAGGGGGTTGAGTGTATAGAGTATATTGAATTTGGAGAGTATTGAATTCAAGAGAGGAGCCCTGGTGACATAGTAGTTAAGTGCTCAACTGGTAATCAAAAGGCCAATGATTTAAATCTCAACAGCTGCTACATGGGAAAAAGATGAGGCAGTCTGCTTCTATAAAAATTTACAGCCTTGGAAACTCTATGGGAGCTCTAATGGTTTAGTGCCAAGGTGTATGATTGCTAACCAGAAGGCTGGTGGTTCAAACCCACCAGCCACTCCTCAGAAGGAAGACTGAGTAATCTGCTTCCATAGAGATACCACCTCAGAAACCCAAGGAGGGGTTGCTATGAGTCGAATTGACTCAACAGCAGTGAGTTTGGTTTTTTTTGGAAACCCTATGGGGCAGTTCTACTCTGTTCTATAGGGTCACTATGAGTAGTAATTGACTCAACAGCAATGGATTTGGGGTTTTTTTGGTTTTAAATTCACGGGAGAAATGTTGAATTGGTGAGAGAAATAAATGTTGGGAGTTGATGAGTGTGTAGGGTACTGAAAATATTGACTGGGAGCTGGAAGTAGAAGTGGTGAAGTTAGAATTCATGGGAACTGAGTGTGGGAAGTGGGCATGGGATTGAGAGAGGGTGACTTTAGGAACTGACTAGATATCTGTGGCACCTCAGAACCCCCAGGTCTGGTGCAGGGCCTGCATGTGTCTGATTCCTCCAACTCCAGCATCTCCTTGGCCTGGCGGGAGCCTCCAGAGGGAGACCCACCCTCTGGCTACATCCTTGAGATGCGGGCTGAAGACACCAAGGAGTGGTCTAAGTGCACAAAGATCCCCATCTCAGGCACCTGCTACACAGTGGGAGGCCTCACTGAGAGGCAGAAATACTTCTTCCGAATCCGGGCTGTGAATGAGGCTGGGGTTGGAAAGCCTGTGGAGTTGGATGAGGGGGTTCGTGCCATGCCACCACCAGGTAAGGATGGAGAGAGGGCTGGGGGTTCAATCCCCAACATCCTGGCTCCAAACCTCCCTTCCTGGGGCTTCATCCTGCAGGGAAGAATCAAATGGTACTGTGATCCATAAAAAATTATCCATACTTGTGCTGCCTGGACAGAACTAGGAGTAAGCCCGTGGGCTCCCCTTCACAAAAATAAATAAATACAATACTTATTTTGTGCCAAATAGTACCCATCACATGCCATTAGATGTCATGGATATTGAAACAAATAAGACACAGTATCTTCCCTGAAGGGACTTAGAAACTAGTAATGGAATCAGGAGAGAAAACAAATAATGGTTCAGTGCTGTGCTAGGTGTCTGTGTGGCCTGTAGTGCATGAAGGAGAGGAGGTTGAGAAGGGCTTTGGAACTAAGAAGCTTAGGCTGAGGCTGTCCTTTCTATCCTCCATCTCAGCTGCCCCAAAATTTGATCTCAGTGCCCGGCTGAAGAGTCATATGGTGGTTCGTGCAGGGACAGCCCTCTGCATCCATGCAGCCTTCTCTGTGAGTCACTCCCTTATCCTGGCCTCCATGTGCCCTTCACATAGCCAAGATGGCCTCTCCCTTTCTGTTGTAACCATTGTAGCCTCTGTCTCTGACCCTGCCTCTTGCCAGGCCTTGGTACTGGGGCTTGGCAGGAGATTCCTCAGGGGAGAGGGCCTGATCCCAGATACATCTGGGTGACCCATGATGCCCATTTTCTGTCACTACCCAGGGCTCACCACCACCCAGTGTGATCTGGCAGAAAGACGGCATCCCCACCAAGGGCCGGGAAACCATCACCAAGGGCAAAAACCACTCCCAGTTCCTCATCAACAGCACCAAGCGCTCTGACTCAGGGGTGTACCGCATCTTGCTCCAGAATGAGTTTGGAGAGGCATACTACGACATTCATGTGCGTGTGGCAGGTACTGACAGTGGACGGAGGCTTTGAGGAAGCATCCCTGCATTCTCTCCAAAAATATATCTCTCCACTGCTGCCTGAGTTCCTACCACTGGAAAGTCACATCTTAGGCAAATGTATAGATACCAAAGGAGCTCTGGTGGTATAATGCCTAAGGCATTTGCTAACCAGAAGGCTGGTGGTTCAAACTCACCAGCTACTCCTCAGAAGGAAGATTGGGCGATTTACTTCCATAGTGATACCACCTCAGAAACCCAAGGAGAGGTCACTATGAGTTGGATCCAACTTGATGGCAGTGAGAGTGGGTGATAGTTACCAAGGTTTGTTAGTGGTTGCCAGCAGCAGGAGGGAGTGGAAAGAGGGTCATTGTTTAGAAAGTATTTGAGTTTCTGGTTATGGTAATGGAGAATTTGGCAATGAGTATTGGTAATGGTTGCACAGCATAATTAATGTAATTGCTATCACTAAATTCTATACATGATAAATGCCAAATTAGCAAATGTCATGTGTGTGTATATATATATGTATATATATATATATATATATATATATATACACATACATATATATATATTTTTTACAACAACAATTAAAAAGAAAGTAGGTCGTGCCTTAAGGTGGTTGTTGTTGTTATTTGCCATTGAGTTGGATCCAACTCATAGTGACTCCTCCTTGGGTTTCTGAGGTGATATCACTATGGAAGTAGATTTCCCAACCTTCCTTCTGAGGAGTGGCTGGTGGGTTTGAACCGTTATGCTACCAGAGCTCCTTAAGGTAGTAAAGCCTTAAGGTAGTAAAGGCTTTTTTAGCACCATCAAGCAAGACTTCATCAGCCATTATCATGGTGGGAGATTTGTTGCCTAGCTTTTTCTCAAACTCCTAAAGCCCTGGAAGGGTTAGACTAGGCTCAAAACCTTATCTGAGTTCCCGTAGTCACATCCAATAGTGAGCTTCGGAGTATATGCAGAGTATGGTTGGCAGAGACAGAGCAGAGAATGGATGAAGAACAAGAGGGACAGATGGAGATAATAAGTATATAAAAAATTAGGGTGATCTCGTAGAGAAGAAAGGACTAGAAGATTTATAATAAAGCCCTAAACCCCTAAGGAAGGAAGGAGTAAACTTTTATTGAACAGTTACCCTATGCAAAACATTTTATCCAATATTCTTATAAAATAGTTACTGTTAGCCCCATTTTGCAAAATGAGGTCATGACTCTCAGAAAAGATGGATAACCTGCCCAAGGTCTCAGGGCAGAGTTGCATTTCAGAAATAGTTCTCATGCAAAGATGCCAGCTGCCTAAGTAGCAAAGAAGAGATTCAGTCTATCCCATATCTACACACCTTTTCTTAACTTTTTATAGTAGTGGTCTCGTATAATATTTGTCCTTTTGTGATTGACAGATTTCATAAGCATAATGTCCTCCAGGTTCATCCATGTTGTTTTGTAGATTCACATTATTCTTTAATGTTGCTTAGTATCATATTGTGTGTATGTACCATAGTTTGTTTATCCATTCATCTGCTGATGGGCACTTAAGCTGTTTCCATCTTTTTCTTATTGTGAGTAATGTTTTGATGAACATGGGTGTGTATGTATCTGTTCATGCCATGGTTCTTATTCCTCTAGGATATATACCTAGTAGTGGGATTGCTGGATCATATGGTATTTCTATTTCCAACTTTTTAAGGAAGTATCATACCACTTTCAACAGTGGTTTTACCATTTTACAGTCACACCAGCAGGGTATGAAGGTTCCAGTCTCTCCACACCCTTGCCAGCACTTGTTTTTTTTTTTTTTTTTTGAACTTTGCTGTTAACGCTGGGGAGATGATAATTCATTGTTGCTTTGATTTGCATCTCTCTAATGGCTAATGAAAGGTGCTCTGGTGGCATAGTGCCTAAAGCATTTGACTGCTAACCAGAAGGCTGGCAGTTCAAACCCACCAGCCACTCCTCGGAAGGAAGGTTGGGCAATCTACCTCCATAGTGATACTGCCTCGGCAACCCAAGGAGGGGTTGCTATGAGTCAGATCTGACTCGATGGCAGTGAGTTTGGTTTTGGAATGGCTAATGATTGTGAGCATTTCTTTATATGTTTGTTAGCCACCTGAATGTCATCTCTGGTAAAGTGTCTGTTCATGTCCTCTGCCCATTTTTTAACTGGATTGTCTTTTTGTTGTTTAAGTGTTAAAGCTTTCTATAAATTTTAGAGAATAGTCCCTTGTCCAATATGTCATTGCCAAAATATTTTCCCAGTCCCCAGGTTTTCTTTTTACTCTGGCAGTCTTTTGATGTGCATAAATGTTTAATTTTTAGGAGGTCATAGTTGTCTAGTTTGTCTTCTGCTGTTTTGCATTTTTAATTATGTTTAATAGTATATTTTTTTTACATGTATTAGGGCCCCTGATTTTGCCCCTATTTTTCCTTTGATGATCTTTATGGTTTTAGGTTTTACATTTAGGTCTTTGATCTATCTTGAGTTAGTTTTTTTATATGGATAGTGTTTCATTTTTGTGCAAATGAATATCCATCCAGTTTTGCCAACACCATTTGCTAGAGAACATGAATATCTCTTTCCCATATCATGGACTTTGGCCCTTTGTCAAAGATCAGCTTTCCATAGGTAGATGGACTTACTTCTGAGTTCTCAATTTTGACTGAGCTTCTGACTGGTCCAGATTTCCCCCGGCCACCAACAAACCTGCAGCTGTTTGAGGAGGTCCCCAACACGGTGACTCTGACCTGGAACCACAGCCCTGATGTGCAGGAAGACAGTGAGGCCCACTATGTCATCATGAAGCGGGACGCCAGCACTGCCACCTGGTTCACTGCTGCCGAGCGCGTCTTCAGCAACAAGTACACGGTGACCGGGTTACTCCCAGGTAGGAAGTACTACTTCCGAGTGGTGGCCCGGAACGAAATCGGTGACAGCGACCCGCTGGACTCCAAGGATACCTGGCTCGTCAACAAGGATAAGAGTGAGTGGGGGCACTTGGAGCTTCAGATTATACTTGGGATCCCTGATGGCAGAGAGGGCATAAGGGTAGCAGGGACACCCAAGATGTCAGAGAAAATCAGAGAACCATTGAGGTGGGAGGGTTAATGTCATGGAAATTGAGAGAGAAGCAAAGCATTGGGAATCCTGTTGTTTTGTCCCATGGAGTGGATTCTGACTCATAGTGACCCTGTAGGACATAGGGTTTCCTAGGCTGTAATCTTTACAGGAGCAGATCACATGTCTTTTCTCCCTTGGAGCTCCTGGTAGGTTCCAACTGCCCACCCTTTGGTTAGCATCAGAGCTCTTAACCATTGCACCACCAGAGCTCCTTCTGGGAGGGCTAGGAGTGGAGAAACCTTGGGATACACTGAAGGGTGGGACTAAGGTAAAGGTGGGAAGATGCCTTTGGGGGCAGGAGTGACATGGGGGTGGGGGTGGAGACACTGAATATTGTGGGTGTGTGGGGGAGCTGATGGATGTGAGGAATAGGGAGGGATTCTAGGGGACGATGCCCTGCAACCCTGAGGGAGGAGGTGAGGGTGGGATGGCATCGGGAAACTCGGAGGGACTATGAGAGTGAGAGGAGACCTTGGAGGATGGGATGACCAGTCAGAGAAACTTGGTGAGGGGTTAAAGACTAGGTAAACAGCTGTGCATCCTCAGGTGGGGGAAGCTGGTGCTGGAATGACGTCAAAGACGCTGGGGTCTTGGAAAGAATAAACCCCCGCAAACCTAGCTGAGGTCATGGAACCCTAGTGTAGGGGAAGGCTCTAGGGGCAAGTAGAGTGTCAGAGCCCACAGAGTTGATGGCGCATGGGAATCTGACTGGACGGATCCAGGTCACTGGGGTTGCGTGTGAGCTGTAGTCTCCCAGAAGCCTTCCAAGTTCTAAGACAGCGGGAGGGGAGGGGGCAGGGCAAAGGGGGAGGCCTGGCCACGCAGCCACAGGGAGCACTCACGGAGCGTCCCCTGCCCAGTTGAAGACCTAAGCGCCAAGCTGAAGCCATTCGAGCAAAAAGATTGGCGCCACGCGCCCCGCTTCTTGACCCCACTCAAGCCGCACAAGGTGCTGCGCGGCCAGGACTGCACCATGACCTGCGCCTTCCTTGGGAACCCGCGGCCCACGGTGACCCTCTACAAGGGGGAGGTCAACATCACGGCCAACTCCAAGTTCTGGTACAACTCTACGAGCGGCGTCTGCACTCTTGTCATCCCCACCTGCACGCTCAAGGACAGCGGCGACTACAGCGTGCTGGTGGAGAACGAGCTGGGCAAAGACCGCAGCACCTGCACACTCACTGTCTATGGTGAGGGCCCTGAACAGGGTCGGGGCCTGGGGAGCAAAATGGCAATTGCGTGGACCAGTGGCAAACTCACTTCACTTGGGTAGCAGCCAGTTTTTAAATTTAATGTGGCTGCCATCAGGTGGTGCAACCCTTCACCACTACCCACTGCCATTCAGTAGGTTCTGACTCATAATGACCCTATAGGAAAGAGTAGAACTGCCCCTTGGGTTTCCAAGGTTGTAAATCTTTAAGGAAGAAGACTGCCTCGTCTTTCTTCCACCAAGCGCTGTTGGGTTCAAATCTCCCACTTTTTCATTAGCAGCCGAATGCTTTAACCACTGCACCACCAGAACTCCTCATGGTGCAAACAATCTCTGAGTACAGTTCTTGCTGCAATCTTTTGTCCCATCCTCTGGATGTGATTTGTTACTGCCTAGAATAAGAGCTCTGGTAGCATAGTGCCTAAAGCACTTGACTGCTAACCAGAAAGCTGGCAGTTCAAACCCACCAGCCACTCCTCGGAAGGAAGGGTTGGGCAATCTACTTCTGTAGTGATACTGCCTTGTAAACCCAAGGAGGGGTCGCTATGAGTCAGGTCTGACTCGACAGCACATAACAACAACAACAAGCCGCTAATGCATGGGATTTTGTGATTCCTTGGTAGGCTATGGTTTGACTACTGAACCCTTGGTGAGCCTAGTCAATGGTTAGTGCCTTTGAGTTATTCTGATTCATAGCCACACCATGTGATGCAGGGGAACTGTCCCAAAAGAGTTTTCTAAGATTACCACAAGTAATCTTTATGGAAGCAGATCAGCAGATCTTTCTTCCACAGAGCCCTGGGTGGGTTCCAATCACCAGCCTTTTTGGTTAGTAGCTGAGCACTTAACCATTGTGCCACCAGGGCTTCTAGACATGCATTTAAAAGATACTGGTGATCAGGCGGGTATCTATGTGTTTACAACATTTTGTAAGAGGTTCTGATGTGCAACCAAGATTAAAGAATAAGGGCAGATGGGAGGCACACATTGGGGAGAACTGAAGGGAACCTTGGTAGAGATACTCCCTCTGCATTGCTCATGAGTGCACACTTGAGAAGAAATATTTTGTTCCTTCCCACACAATTCATCGTCTTCACAGCTAGCAGAGTGAACTTTCTAAATGTAACACTTGCTCCCCCTTGCTTAAATTCTCCCTTAGCTTTCTCATGATAAAATCCCAACCAACAAGGTTCCCCACATCCCTCCAGCTTCATCCTCTGCTAGCCCCCAGCCTAGTACAGTGTGCACAAACCCATACACTGTCTGCACCCCTACCTGAACTTGTGTGGCACTTCATTAGTTGTGGTCTCCATGGTTACAGACCTTGGTTCATCCTGTTACAGGATGTCTTTTCTTAAAATAAGGTCCATGTCCTATTGCTCTGTCTCGTGAGTACTCAGCTAAGTGTCTGGTACTGAGTTGGTGATGCTGCCAGAGTGACTGCTAAATTGAATAACATAACTAGGCCAGGGAAGGCAATGTGGGAGATTATCCAGCTTTCATTCCATAGTTACAGAGATCCCTGACAAGGGAATCCTGTGTCATGGGCCTTGGCTCTATCTCTAGGCTCTACCGCCTTGGGTCTACCAGCTGTGTGACCTTCAGCAAGTCATCTCTCTGAGCCTATTTTCTCATGTTCTTCAGACGGTTGTTGTGAGGCTTAAATGAGATACTGTATGGGTGTGCCTGGCATGGTACCTGGCAAATGTTAAGCTCTGAATAAATGGCAGCTCTTGATCCCACACATTTAGCTGATCTTGGGGAACTGGAACCCATCCCCAGGGTAGGATTCAGGGTCCAGCTCCTGCTTCCTGTGTAGTAACTACAAGGGCAGGAGTTTGGAGATTCCCCTCCCCCGAGCATCACTGCTGTTGATGGGTACCAATTGAGTTCATTCAGATTCATAGTGGCCCCCTGTGACAGAGTAGAACTGCCCCACAGGGTTTGCTAAGCTGTAATCTTTATAGAAGGAGCTCTGGTGTCATAGTGGCTAAAGCACTTGGCTGCTAACCAGAAGGCTGGCGGTTCAAACCCACCAGCCACTCCTCGGAAGGAAAATGGGGCAATCTACTTAGTAGTGATACTGCCTCGGGAACCCAAGGAGGGGTCACTATGAGTCAGGGCCGACTCGACGACACATAACAACAACGACAACAATCTTTATAGAAGCAGATCACTGGGTCTTTCCCCTATGGAGCAGTTGGGTGGGTTCAAACTGCCAACCTTTCAGTTAGCAGCCAAGCACGTAAACCATTTGTGCCACCAGGGGTCCTTCCAGCATCAACACTAACAAATACTTGCTTTGCTTTTTCAGACAAAGATGACAAGTCAATTCTAGCATCAGTCACTGAGAGTCTGCAGAAGAAATCAAAGCACCTTATGTGAGTCCCAGGCTGAGCATCAGGATGATGTGATGGGCTTTTCTGGGCCTGCCCTCTATATGGCCTAGGGTGGGAAGCCCAGTTTACTTGCTGGTGCTTGTCAATGTAAACATGTGATGAAGGGATGGGTCAATAAACTCACAGAGCTCACTCTTGCCTGTTCCTGAGGGTGGTGTACAGCAGGGACCAAGGGGATAGACATGTACATGGGATGGGGATATACTGAGGCCAGGACGGCTGAAAGCCTCACTCAAATTCCATAGGGAATGACCAGCCCCTTCTGCCTGGGCTTTGACTTGTGGTCCCTTCCTCAATCACACTGCACCCTCCCCTCCCCTCAGGGTAAACCTTTTCATCCTTTTCCCCCGTCCTGCTCCCTCCCATGTCTTCACAACAGGTTTGTCTTCAGAGTTTTGAGGTTTAAGAGGATCAGGATCTGGCCTCTTTAATATGTAGGGTTCCCACCATTAGAGAATTAGAGCATCTCAGAGCTTGAAGGGATTGATCATAGAGTTCACTACTTTTCAAACATGTCTTACAGAAGAATCCTTCCTTTAAAAAAAAAAAAAATCTTGTGAAGCTACTGGACTTAAAACAAAGATAGGCCTTTGAGTGCCCTCCCTTCCTTATTCCTTTGCCAACCCCCACCAGGGATCTCTGTAGATACTGATTTATCCAACACCCACCTCGACATGAATCTCCTATATCATATCCCCACAACTATGCAACATTTCCACTAATGGCACATCCACCATCACCCAAGGCTTTCCTTTCCACTTCTGGGTCACGGTACTGCCTGTTAAAATGCAAATGCCCCTGAGTAGAATAACACATTGTTCTGCTAGGTCTTCACATCTAAAGTATGAATCAGCCAATCGAATCCTATTCCTCCCCACTGCTCCACTGAGCGCAGGATCAAGGAGAAAAGCTACTTGAAGGGAATCTGGCTCATTTTGGAGTAGGCAATAAATAGGTTTGGGCAGGGGGGAAGGGAGTGCAGGAGGGAATGGAGGACACTGGACAATTAGGAATCAATAACCGTGCTGGGCATCTGTCATCAAGAGAGTACAGCGAAGACAAATTAGCATACTGGCAAATACTAAAGTCCCCTATCCTCCTAAGGAGCTCTGGTAGCGTAGTGCCTAAGGCACTTGACTGCTAACCAGAAGGCTGGCGGTTCAAACCTTCCAGCCACTCCTCGGAAGGAAGATGGGGCAATCTACTTCTGTAGTGATACTGCTTTGGAAACCCAAGGAGGGGTCGCTATGAGGCGGGTCCGACTCAATGGCACATAACAACAACAACAACCTATCCTCCTGGATTGTATCCTCACCCACACACGTGACCAAGGAAGTGAGACCCACTCCAAACAGCAGTGTCACTACAACCAGGGAGCCAGCCTAGTGCCAAAATGCAATGGCCAGGACTGTGACCCAGGCAATGAGAATAGCCAAGGTCCCTGGCACCATACCTGTCCTCTCCAGGACAGGCACATGCCATACAGGCAAGCAAGCAGGATAGGCTATGGCCTTGGTTTTATTTATTTATTTTTCACATGGGCAGTAGAGGATGGAGTTGCCCCACCCTTGCCTCTCTTGCATTGAATGTGCCTTGGGTCTCGGTGACCCAGAGTGTCATTGGAGTCTCTTCCCCTCACCCTCAGTGCAGGAGGGGTAGGAGGAAAGCATTGAGTGCAGGCTTGGGGGCAGTTCTCTGAGGCAGGCTCAGCACCTCCTTAGACAGCAGGACAGAGACAGCTGGCAGACAAAGACAGACAGGCTGGAACACAGATTACAAACACACACACACACACACACACACATACCAGCCGGTCCCTTCCTTTGGCATGGTTCACCCTAGTCCCAGGGATGGAGTCTAAGGGTATTGGTGTGAGGCCTGAGCTCTGGGCTGGCCTGCGAGGGAGGTGGGACCAACTTAAATCCTTGGTATCCTAAGCTCCCAGGCCAAGGCAGTCTGTTCTCTTGCCTACCCTGGACAAACACCCCTTCACCTTCCCACCCATCCCATAGTGATTGAGATTGTTCAAGTAACAAGGATAGATGAGAGAAAGGGAGACTTCATCCTCATCCAATCTTCCCAACTAGGGGCCTGAGTCATCTCAGCACAGATTTCTCCCCTTTCCCTCAACTCTGTGCAGATCAGAGAGAGTGGGAGTGGGTGAGCCCAGCATTGCACTGGTCCTGGGCATAAGAGATGGAGTCAGAGTCCTCTCCCTAGTAGGGAGAGAGGTTAATAAGCTGAGCACCATCACCATCCTGGGGGTTTTGACAGTCTAGTAAGAGGTACTACACTGGCCCTAGACTGGCTTTTTAGCTTTCAGCCTTGTTCTGGACCACTAGTTCTGCTAGGGAGATCCTCTTCCTGCTCACCCCCTCAAACTTGTCAATGTGCCAGGTGGTACCTGCTGCCCCAGGCTGGCACTGCAGCCATCCTGATCCAGCTCCTTCAGGTTCCCAGGTCCTGAATCCCAGTCCCAGGAGGAGAGAAGGGTGACCAGACCCAGGCCCCTCAGTTGGTCTTGCTCAGTCCATAGTCTTCCACTGGCTCCCGGCTCTCAACAGCAGACAGGGCGATGAGCATCTGGGCAGCATAGTAGGTGGACATGATGAGTGCCCGGGAGTAGGGCACAGGAAAGCAGAACTTGTCGAGGGCGATGGTCATGTCTGAGATGATAAAGAGCAACGCGCCACTGCCAGCTGCCAGCTCAGTCCAGCGCCAGGCTGCCCCAACCAGCTGCAGCCCTGCCATAGCCCGCCAGCCCATGAAGCTGATAAGGGCCACGTAGACCCCCACCAGGTAGGTGAAGGCACCTGAAAGGCCTGGATAGAGGAGGGCATAGCACAGGCCCGACAGCACTGCCATCACCAGTCCTGTCCGCAGGGCCAATGGCCTCATGCCAAAGGCCGAGGCGTAGAGCATGTGGGTCACAGCAAACATCAGCAGACCTGGGAGTGAGAAGGAATGCTGAGGACAGGCTCAGGTGAGTAACCAGGGTAGGGGTGGGGGTGTTTGGGATAACCTAGAAGCTTTGTGGGCAGTAGTAATAGGGTGGAAGGAGACCCACAAAAGTAAAGACAGCTACCCACTATGACCATGACCCTCAGTAACTCCAGAACTGATAACCAGAGCACCTTTAAGGTCACCCCCTGGCAGAGTCCCCCATAATCCCTGACCTCAGCAATCTTCAGATTCCCCATCGTCTGATTCAGAAGAAGCTCATTCACCAAATCCTTGGAACACTCCACACACACACCACCACCCCAGGAGCCTCTAGCTGCCAGCTTCAGGACCCCTCCCAGGCAGCTACTATGGCAACTGACCATGCACAAAGTAGCCCTGATCCTGCCAGATGAGGAAGGCATCACCCACAGCAGAGAAGACAAGTCCTACAAAGATGCGGGTGGCACTGGGGTGGGCCAGCAGGAATCCCAGGCCATGGGCCAGAAGGAAGAGCCAGAGGCAGAAGATGGGCAGGCACTTGATGAGGGCGCTGACCCACGACGGGCTGGATGCAGGCAGCCAGAGCACAAAATACACGCAGGTGGCCTTGAAGAAGGGTACCAGCTTGGGTCCCTCGCTCTTCACCTAGAGGACACAGGATAGAGCAACACTCAGGGCTGGACACCTCTCATGGGGTCTCAGAGCCAGCACCCTCAATCCAAGTATCCACCCAGAGACAGGCCCACCCCACAAACAAGGAGGTTCAATACAAAGAAACCCAGCCAGGTCTGCCCTACCAGCCAGCAGGTGTGGAGAAGGCCATCCCCACCCTCAGCCTCAATTTATTGGAAGGGCTCTACTATTCCTGCTGCCATGTCCATTCTTGGCCCGGGGGCTGAACTGGAATGATCACTCACTGAGCAGCTGACCTTGGGATAATGTCCCCTCCTATTGCCCAAGGCGTCTTCCTCTCCCTCTCCAGGATCCCTTCAGCCCCCCACCCCCACCCCAAACCAGCAGCAGCATTAGCTCCTAGCTGTCTGGAATGGAATGGAGTCAGCGGGAAACCACAGAGACGCCAAGGCTAGCCAACTCGTGACCATCAGCAGTGAGGCCAGGGCACAGGCTTAGGGCCCTGGCAACACCAGGTGAATGCCAGAAATGTGTGAGGATGAGCATTGCCAGCCACCTCCACTCTCATAGGCTCTCCCCAGCTCATCAGTCTGCTCCTCTTCCTCTAGCCCCTTGCCCCAGCCTAAAGGTGTCATCAAGGACAAGAAGGAGATAGGGATGCTAGCTAGAGAAACGGACCCATGAGTTAGGATCAAGAAAACTGTCCCTGAAGCACCAAAGATTTCTCGGATTAGGGGCAGGGGGACAGTCAGTCTCATTTCCCAGAAAACAGAGCAACTCAAGGCACAGCAGACAAAAGAGGCAGGAAGGGGGGGGGGTGGTTCTCCAGGCTTTTGATCAGGAGCCAGCAGACAGGCTGGGAGGAGATGGGGAACTGAGAGGGGGAAGTTAGAGCAGCTGACTTGGGCTCAGACAGATTAGGTTGTGCCCAAGGCTACTGCAGACACTCTCCAAACTGGGGTAGGGAGTTACTGCAGAATATTCTGAACATGGACTAAAGAATCTGTGAATCTCTGAAGCTCCTTTCACTGAGTGTGAATTGGAGCAGCTGGGGTTCTCTGCCATCTCCATTCTGCCCAAAGTGATTATGCCTCTGGCTGGAATGAGCTGTCCATCGCAGGGCTTTGGGGATACACTCATACTCACAGTTCACCCGACACTTGGAGATTAATAAAACTGTGATGAGGGGCATTAGGAAGAGATAGGTGGGTGGGCCTAAAGTCCAAGCCTGCCCTTGCATTTCCAGGGGTGACAAGAGGATGAAGAGATGCCCAAGTCCCTTTCCATGGAGATTTCCCCATCAAGGCAGGCCAGGGCATTAGTATGGCTCAGGAAGGAGGGCATTGGACAACTTGCACAGTCCCCAGGAGCCGCCTGCCAGCCCTTGGGAAGCATCAAGGTACACTCCATCCCCCCTCCCTTTCTGCCATATTTCCTAGAAAGAGAAAATAAGTAGTAGCTGGAGAGGCCTTGACAGGCAGAGAGAACCCAGCACTGGAATAAGAAAGTGGGGAGAGGACACAAAGGTTCAAGTTGGGAAAGTCTGGAGAAGTAGAAGTGCCAGTTGAGAATGTCCCCTTCCCCCACTAGCGCGTAATCAAACTCAGCGGCTCTGCTCTTTAGACCCAGGGCGACCTCGCTCCCCTCCCCGCGCCCCCACGCGTTTTTAAGATAGGGAAGGGGAAGAAACGAATTTGGAACGGATTCCCAGGAGGACCATGTCACCCTCCTGCCTCCTGCCTTCTCCCACGCCCAGCTGTGGTCCACCCACATAGACCCCCATGGTCTGCTGCCGCCCCCTCCCTCTCCTGGGCCACGACCCCGCCGATCCCCGCCAGACGTACAGAGATCAACAAAGTCACGCTTCCGAGTCACGTGCCCACTGTTTTCCTCCCTCCCGCTGGAGGGCGGGGGGCAAGCGGAGGAGGGGCGCCACGGGTCTGCTCAGCGGTGGCCTTGACAGCGCCTGACTCCAGGGGGGGCCGCCGGCCACCGCAAGACCGCTCCCCACCTCTGCCCCCAACGGCTTGGTCTGGCCGCAGCCCAGTCCCCAGGCCGGTGGGTACCAGCTGCGCTGAACACTGACTGGCTCGCTCGCTCACTCACCACAGTGACCGGGGACACCATGGCGGCGGCGGCGGCAGTGGCTGGCACCTGGCTCCGGACAGCAGCCGCCAGGACTCGCCAGCAGCCAGGTGAGGAGGCAACTAAGTAACAAAGCCCGAGGTGACGGACAATGACTCCCGCGGGCCCAGAGCTCTAGGCTGCTGTATCTGAGAATCCTGCAACGTCACGGCAGCTACGGCCAATGCGCCCGCCGGAGCCCCGGGGGGCGGGGCCCAGCTGGCGGTGCCGGCTCCGCCTCCTGCGGTTCTGCTAGGAGAAATGAAGCATCTCCCAGGGGGTAGAGGGCGGGAACCAAGAGGCCCCGCCCCTTCAGGAGACCGTGCCAAAACATCCCGGAACGTGACCGTGACCCCAGCCTCTGGGCTAGGACCAAGTTTGGCTGAGAGACAAACACATTCCTGACCTGACTACACACGGCTACACATAAATTCTGATAACTCCGGGACAAAAGGCAGACAGATACCCTTTAGCCTTTAATCATACAATCCACATGAACACAATTGAAATTAGACTCAAAACCTTCACTGTGTACACACATCCAATTGTACGCACAATGGACACCAGACACACAACCTTCAACATGAAAGAGACACATGTATACACAGATGTGCAGCAGTCCATAAACCCACAATCCCAACATATATACAAATACAAAATCACAGTTACCCTTGGACAGGGAATAGGCAAGTTTACAGACAAACCACAGGTGGATACACATTAAAACATAAAATCAGAGACACATATATGGGCACACAGCAGCCCACAGACTCATAGCCCTAACATGTAAACAAACACGGGCACTCAGTTGCTCTTAGGCACACACTTATCACAACTCAGAAACAAAGCCGTACGCACAGGAGCGCAGCAGTAATGACAGACAGGCAGACCTGAACATGCTTAAGGACCCAAAGGAGTGTGAGCTTTGCCAAAAATACAACTTAAATGGTTTTGATGTTGCTAAAACAGATTGAAAGCACATGGGCACATTTGGAAACATACTTATGTAATCATGGGAATTACATGGGAGACAGGTGGTCAAGAGTACACATCTAGTCCCAGTTTTACCACTTCCATGCTGTGTGATTTGATGAATCACTTCCCTCTTTGGCCTTGATTTCCTCATTATAAGATGAATGGATGATTTCTAAGGTTCCTCCCAATTCCAACATGTTGTGTAAGATGGGGAAGAGCTGCTGATTTCAAGAAAGGTAAGTCTATCATATACACAAACACAGAATCACAATTACCCTTAGACACTGAACAAGACAAACCACAGATGGGCACACATTCTTCCTGGAGGCTTCCTGGAGATGAAGATTTCATGTACATTTTAAAGGATGGACCAATGATCTGCAGTAGCAGGGGAGCAGTTACCTATTGGACTTTGTGAATTGGGGGAGGAGGGTAGGGAGACAGTGTGGCCAGTCCTAATTAGCAGCCATTGAGGAGTTTCTAGTGTCCTAGGATGGTACCACTGAGATCCTGGTGCTGGACCCCAGCCCTATGCTCTCCTGTGACAAAAAAAGCATAGGTCCAGGTCTCCTGGGAGTCCTTCCCCACAATGGGCCTCTGTTTTTTTTTTTTTTTTTTTTCTGTTCCCTACCCAGATTTCCGTAAGCTTGTGCTATAAGCCTGACACCCACTCAGAGGGAGGAGCAGCCTCTTCTAGTGACAGAATTGATAACTGCAGGTTCTGAGCCAAGGACAACAGGTGTGCTGACAACCCACAGCTTTCTGCCATCCCCTCCAATACCCTCCTAGATAGAGCCCCCGTGTACAATGAACTCTGCCTACTTTAATTTCTTTTCAGTCATGGGCTGTCAGAAGGCCCACCTTATCAGATTGGGAGACTTGAATTGCTGCTCCCAGGGTTTTGTCACACACACACACACACACACACACCCCTACAAAGTGTGTTGCCACATCCCTACAAATAGTGTTGCCAGGAAAGAACACTAGTTTGGGAATTAGAAATACTTAATACTAGGAGCTCTGGTAGCATAGTGGCTAAGGCACTTGACTGCTCACCAGATGGCTGGCGGTTCAAACCCATCAGCCACTCCTCGGAAGGAAGGTTGGGCAATCCTACTTCCGTAGTGATACTGCCTCGGAAACCCAAGGAGG